CAGTGTCCCCCCTCCTTACCCCTTAGGGTCAGGTGAAGACTGCAGAAATGCACAATTACAGGGCTGACTCATATAACCAAAGACACCAGTCAGCTGCCACAAGCATTCAGTATTTCACAAATTTGGTTTCCTTTTGTCCAAATTATGGCCCTTCTCCTTTCTCCAGCTCCCAGAGCCCATCCCTCCACCACCAACCCATAACCTCTAAGCGATGGCCCTTCCCCAGGTCCCCAGGAACAGAGCAGAAAGCACAAGAGATCCTATTACAGTTGCCAGCTGTGGCTCCTTTGGACAAGGGTCTCCATCTAAAGGGTGGTGTTCTCCAAAGTGGTTGCCATAGTAAACATGCCTTCAAATAAAGAGCAGAGGGGGGAAAAAAACCAAAGTCCCCTCACTGCATTCCTCACCAAAACCCACGCTGGCTCTGAAAAAAACTGGTTTAACAACTGCTCAGACTGTTAATTCTGCAAATGAAAATAAGGTGCTTAAAAAGCCTAAATTGTGGCATGTGTTCTTATGGGATTTGGGGGGAAGGAGGACCATCATGTACTCTCTGCCAGTGGACAAATCCCCCCACTCATGCTCACCAGTATAGGCCCGTGGTCCTCCGTGCCATGCCGATGAGCTGCTGTGTCCACTATGAACCATTTCTAAGAATTATATCTTCTCTCCACATTCAAAGAGAGAAGAGGCCTCCAAGAGATTTTAAAGATAACATCCTTTCTCTGTACATAAAAAAATGTGGGCGCGTCCTGCAAGCGTTTCCAAAAAGCAGAGAAAGAAATTTCAAAGCCTAGACCCACACTGGGAAACTCAGGGAGGTAGGAAAACGTGAAATGGATGGGCTTCTTCATTTCCCCCTCGAGGTCTCTGTGACAAGCACACTTTTTAAAAATCTTGGGGTACTGTTAAAATACTGTCTAACACGGCATCCTCTTTCCTAGGAGAAAGCTGCATCAGAACCCTGAGCCAACAATCTCTTTACACCTATGACGCCGCCCTGACGATGACCCGATTTATAGTGAGCAAAACAGGACCTGCCATGGAAAGTTACTTCTCTCCCCTAGGAGAGAACATTCCACAAGGCCCCAGAAAGGAGCAGAGAGCAGGGTCCAGTCCTTGCTCTGGCCACTAACAGAACACAGCGTGTGACATTGGGCAATTCACTTAGGCATCTCTGGGCCTGTTTCCTTTTCTGAGAGCAGGTTGGGCCTACCTAATCTAAGGTCACTTCCAGCCCTGAAACCCTGGCATTGTAAGAGCATGTGCAATTAGGAGCATCCATTCTACTGTGGGGTTAGAAAGGAGGAAGTTTCCGGAGAATGTCAACCTTCTTTCTATGTGCCTCATTTATAACAAAAATGCATAAGACATTTTCACAAACAATGACCCAACATGTAGCTTTACAGGAATATATTATCTTGTGATATATACACACACACACATATATATTCAATATTCCTATAACAAAGGCATAATATTCATTAAATAATATATGTTCAGTTATAGCAAGCTATACAATGAGGCAGTTGGCCAGAATATTGACCCAATGCATCCTGAGATTTTTCTACTTAAGAAAATTATTTTGCCATTTTTAGAAATTACAGGTAGCACAGAGGCAAAATATATTAATGAATAACCTTTTGTGATACTTAAATTAAAAGTACATGAATTGTTTCACGCTTTGCATAATTCTACCTGTCATACATTTGTTATAAAAATGTCTTCCATTCATTATTTCAAAAGTATCAAGTCCAGCTCATGATATAAATATAGAGAAGAGAATATTCTAATAGGGCTGAGCTATCTTCTTGAGAGGTTGTTTTATAAATTCCACTTTCAGAGCCTACAAAATCCTTAGAAAGTGCATTAAAAATATATGCAGACACACACGGTATGTTGTAGTCTCTTTGTACTACAAACAAGTGGTTCCTGTGTTAAACCCTCGTGTTTCAAAGTCATGGACGTACAAATTAAATTTAATTTAAGCCTTTCTAAGCTTATTTCTTGGATCAATCAATCAGTCCAGAAGATATTTTACTAATGTTAGTGTAGAATGTTCCTTTCCAACAATTAAGACAAATTGGGGGTGGGGGGGGCACGCTTTTGAGTTTCCTAATTCCCTCCTCTGCCACTCACCTCCCCTAAATGACTTTTTAGGAAAGATTTGGGGCATGGTAGTTTTTAAAACTGCTTTGATACCATTTCCAGTCTGCCCCGCACACCATGGTGATTGTGCCTATTAACTGGAGCCCACTGGAGCCCACGAAGCTCAACTCTAACCCAACGCTAGGAGAGAGGACAGGTGGGAAATTTTCCAGGTGGGTAATAACTGCTGAGGCCCAACAGAAGCAAGCAAGTACCTTCTAGATGTAAACCATATCCAAGAGTATGCCGAACAAAATACTTTTAAAAAAGAAGAAAGACTGATAAACAAGGCCTATTATCAACCAAAGAGCATCTTCTTCATCTCCCCCTGACCCCCAATAAAGGAAGCGATAGCCTTTGTATGGTCACTTACGACAATGTGTGCCGGCGACGGAGAGCGGGCATCCTTGAGGGCTTGTCTGCTCTGGAGGGTCCCCGCCTGGACATCAAGCAGCGGCCATTTCATCTGCAAATACTGGAGAGCAAACAAAACGAACATGGAAAATGAATTTAGCAAAGAAATGCAAGACAGCTACCCCGAGAGAGAACTCTTCGAGTCCATAATACACACATCAGAAACTGAAAACCTTAAAGCATGCAGATCACATAAACAACAGAAAAACCATCAACACCCATCGGTTCTTCCTTGGAGTTCATGCTCAATAGGTACATGCACACAGCATCAATATTATTAGCATTCATGCTATAGGTGGCTCGGATGGAATGATCTCATCAGCACTACCTCATTTAGAAGGAGCGGCGGGTGGGGGGAGACAGAAGAAGGGGAGAAACGCAGAGAGCTTCGGAGGAAGAGAGCAATCGGGGAGTCTCCAGCCAGTGTCCTAGTAGACCATCAATTCTGAGCCTGCTCTTCAGGAACCTCCGTTTCTAAAATGCCTGAGTATACATAACTGTCCTCTACTGGAAGTTACTCAAGTAGGGCAAGAATGGAATTCCTCATCCAAGCCCAAAGCTTATAGTACAAAAATATTTCCTGGTAAAAGATGCACCAACAGGATACAATGCAAGGTAAACCCTCATCTCAGAAGGCTGGAGGAATTCTTAAATACATACAGATTTACCACGGAGAGAAAAACAAAGATATAAGCCAATGATGTCTACCTCCACCCTTGTCTGAGGCAGACAATGAACACATGGCACTAGGGAAGGGAGCTGCTTCTGTCAAAACAATCAACTGATCCAACTCCCCATTGGGCAGGTGAGGGAAACTGAGGAAAGGTGGCCTGCCTGGTCATCGAGACTTTTAGTTACAAGCAAGTCCCGCGCATTTGACTTTTGTGGGTGACATTATAGCAGCTTCACTCAGGACAACTTCAGACAACTAAACAGAACTTAGACACTGCTAAGATTTTAACAAGGACATTGGTACTGGCCAAATTTGTACCTCCAAAGGCCAACTGATGAAGGCATGAGTTAATGTTGGATGGTATATAAGGAGCCATCTTGATTTTTTTCGAAGACCCACAGCAAAAAGGGAAAAAAAGGCTAGTTTTAATACTAATCCTACAAAAAATTTTACTTGGTGAACACTGACCGGAGCTTGCTTTGGGCATTATGGAGACAGAAATGTCTGCCCTCAAGGGGCTTATGTATGCATGAGGCAGCCAGGTCCCACCCGAGTCAAAGAGTCAAGAGAGAGCGGGGCGAAGCCAAGGCCGAGACCCAGGAAATGGTGACCACGAATGCCAAGAAGACAGCAGCGTTTCTGAGAAAGAGACCGGGGAAGGCTGCACAGAAAAGATTTCAACAGAAAGGACAGCAAAGGGCAGTCCAGAAAGAAGGAAGGGTTTGCTCAAATCCCATGTGACAGAAAGGGGTCAAAGCCAACCACAAGCTTCTCCATGGGTTCCTCAAAGATACAACCATCTGGAAAATTAAAACCCAACTCAGTTCCACCTGCAGATGAAAGGCCCTAACCCACGAGTCACCTGCCAAGAGCACGGTCATTTTCCCAACCTAGAGCTACACACGGTTGGAACGACTTCTGCTTCAGAGTGTTTATCTAGAAGCATCCTGTGCTGAGAATACTCCATTGCTAGTACTGGTAACTTGCCCCAAGACCAAACAACAAAAGCCTTTGCTTCCACGGACCTCCGGTTTTCATCTATAGACTGAAGAGCTTGTCCTATCTGTGATGGGGCGGTGAGGGGCTGCCCCAAGTGCTGAAAGACTTCTAGAAGTCTAGGCCTCCAGACAGGAAATATCAGCAGGCACCCCTTATAATCAAACCATTATAGTCAAACCATTTCCAATACCTTATCTGGGAGCAGTATCATCCCAAGTACCAACCACTGAAGTAAATGTTCCCATGGCCTCCCTCAGCCCTATAACCCAGGCAAGAGGGCTATGGGAATCTCTTCTGCCCTGTCTCATCCTGTCTTCTGCCCAATGTCACTTGCCACATAAATATATGGGCCTCATTGGTCAAAACCACTCAACAGAGTCATTTCCTTGAGGCCGACCAAAATGGACACCTGCCAACACTCACCCCTCCATCTCATAAAAACCCGCGAAGAAAAATGCCAAGCGGAGTCTACCATACACCTATATCTCCTGCTATTCTCAGTGGGGAAGGTTGGATTAATGGACATCTTTTCATCTTTGGCCATCTCCACGACTGATTTGACTGCATCCAAGTACCAGCTCCACAGGATTAGGAAATTTAGGCTTTATTTAACATGACAGACCTGCCCTGAGGACCCCACCCAAGAATGATCATACCCATAATGCAATATTAATGCAGAGACTTATAATTCTTACTTTACATAAAAGCTTCATTGTGTGCCATATCCAATCTCCGCGGGCTACCTGCACCACATATTTTTACGAGCCTACATTTCAGCGCTCTGAGCCTACGATACACATAATTTTCAATTATGTTAGGGCAGCCCAGGATCACTGCCTATATAACATTACTGGTTGGAGGAAATGAGACTCGCCCCGTTGCCCAGAGAGAGCTAACCAAATCCAGATGGTGGAGGAAGACAACCCCAGTTCCAGCGACGTGCAGGGACTCCGCAGTGACAGCCCCAACCTCTTAGGCCCAATGCAACTTGATCCCACAGAATGGCTGGGTCCCAGCAAATCCATGCCTGTCCCTTGAATCTTAACTGGCATTCAGGCTAACGGGGTTCCTTGTGGGGAAGTAAGTATTATGTCAGGATTTTTTAAAGGAAGTTATTAACCCCCTCCAAAAGTGATGGATTTCCCAGGTCTCTCTTCATCTTCCACAATTGGTCCTTATTAATAGAGAAAATAAATAAATAAAGGGAAGCAAAAGGAAATTGGGTACTATTAGAGCCTAGAGGAAAATCTTTTCCTTCCTGGAGACATTGAGCAGCAGGAAATTCTATTTATTCTGCTGGGTCCTAAAGGAAGACCCAAAGAAAGAAGCATCTCGGATTTAGGGACTGGCTGGAAAGCCACGCCACATTTTCCCAATAGTTCCACTTCAGTTTTATATCCTTTCTGGGGATGAAAAAAAAAAAAAAGTTCCCACCATCCCACTATAAAAACAACACTGGGCTCCAGCTCTCTTCCTTTCAGGCTGCTCAACATGGAAATTATGAATTGCCTACAAAAACATTAAACTTTTCAACAAACTGCAATCAAATGGGGCTGTGGGAATTCCTGCATTGAAAACTGTTGAAATGGAGTCTGCTTGACTTTCATTTTTTGGGGGGGGAAGTCATCTCGGCTTAAGCATTTCATCCTTTGTTTAATAATAATGTTCTGCTCATGGCCCATTAGAGTTTTTCCTCAAAATCATATTTTATGATATGTCTCGGGGAGCTTAAGTTAAGCTTTTGGACCTGTGGACAAAGTCTCGAAATATATACAATACCACCGGCCTGAAAGGAATCAAGGCTATTTAAAAGCCTGTTAAACGAGAAAGGCAAATGTGGATGGAGGTCCCAAATCAGAAGCCCCTCCGGGATCAGGCGCAAGTGGGCCTGACAGAACCTGCTCCCCTGGAGACACCCCATCCGTGCGAATCGGGCTGGGTATGGGTAGCGAGGACAGTGGGGAGGGGCTGATCAGGGAATCTGCCACCTGAGGGCTGCTGAGGTCTTGGTACAAACTTATTTTCCAAACAAACAGGTCCATTCAAAGGACAGTGCTGCTGATAATGACTGCCAGGAAACGCCACATCCTTGATAAACTCCAAAGCGGCTTCCCGGCACTCCCTCCCTTTCACTCGCTCCGTCCCACACGTGGACGGGCCAGTGGAGTCTCCCCTTTATTTGTCCAAGGCAGGGCTGGCAAACTCTTCGAGCAAAGGGCCACACGGTAAATATCTCAGGCTCTGCGACCCACACCGTCTCTGTCCTACCTACTCAAGTCGGCCACAGGCGATAGATACATGTATGCACACATGTATCACGTCATGGCCGTGTTCCAATAAAACTTTACTTATGGACACTGAAATTTGCATTTTCATATGACTTTCTTGTGTCGGGAAATATTAGTTTTCTGATGACTTTTTTCCAACCATTTAAAAATAATAAAAATCATTCTCAGCCCACAGGCCATACAAAAGCAGGTGGCCGGCCAGCTTCGGCCCGTGGGCAGTGGTTTGCCACCCCGGCTTAGGGAGTGAATGTGTAAAGGCATGAAGACCATGTCAGACAGGATACATCCCTTCACTGCCTCAAATCCAGGCAGCCAAACACAGTCACGNGGCATGAAGACCGTGTCAGACAGGATACATCCCTTCACTGCCTCAAATCCAGGCAGCTAAACACAGTCACATAGGAAACCAGGGTCGGTGGCGCAAAAAGCAGCACTTAGGGTTGAATTATCACGGGCAGACTCAAGTTTTGGGGGGAAAGTTTGGAAAAGAATCTGAGCTCTCTGGTGGTGACTCCTAGTCACGGTGGTCTAACCATTAGACCACAATCTCACAGAAATAACCATCCCTCCCTTTCTAAAATGGAAGTTCAAAAATCCCTTAGCAATTCTGACTGGAAAAGGTTCATGTATTTAGAAGTCCTCACCCACTTCCCAGGAGACACTGGCGACGTGTCACGTGTCATCTTATTGCCCCAAAGGAACGCCAGGCAGAAATCCCTCCCAACGTGGGGATGAGCCTCGTGTGCTTTGGGATCAACTTTCTAGGTTTAGAAGCTCGTCTCTCCAGAGCTTTCCCATCTCACAGAGCTGGAGTAAAGCCCATGCTGTGCCAACTCTGTCCACCACCAAGAGATGGCATTAGCCATGGGCTCAGGCAGAATGCAGAATTGGGGGAAGAGGGGGGACACAGTAGGGCCTGAACAGGCTGTTCAGTGGAAGTGAAACCAATGTCTTCTGGGAAACTAGGTCCTGCAGAAAACCTATCACCCAGAAAAGGGCTGATCTTACCATTTTTGAAAGCTTTGCTCCCCACCCTAGCCTGGTGGATAGCCATCCTTTACCAAAGTACAAAATCCCAGCTATTTCTCGATAGCAGTGCTT